TGTTAGTCTCTAAGGTGCTGTAGAACTATTCATTGTTTTTTAAAGTTTTTTTCAGTTACAGTCTATCATGGCTACCCCTCTAAGACCCCTACTCATCTTACATGTACAGGTTGAATCTCTCTTTTCCGACAACATTCATGGTCTGGCAGACCCACAGATATTGCTGGACAAGAGAACTGGGTGACTACAGGGTTGGCTGCAGCAGCCCCAGCGGCTTCAGGGTACCAGAGCCATGGCAATCGCAATGCCCTAAGCCCTGGCGGCTCTGAAGCCAGGAAGCTGCGGCAACCCTGAGATAATGGAGTCTAGCAGCCCTGGAGAGCAGAGCCCCAGCTGCCTCAGAGCCACAGCAGCTGTGCACTCCAGAGCCGTAGCAGTGTTGGTGCCAGAGAGTCACATCAGTCTCAGTGTCCTTGGGCCTGCAGAGCCATGGTGGCCGTGGGACAGCGGAGTCCCAGCGGTCCCTGGGTATTGGAGTCGTGGCACCTCTGTGGTGAGCAGAACCTGATGGCCCTATGGCAGTGAGATGAAGCAGTTGGGACAGGCCAGCGGAGCTGGGAGCCATCACGTCATGGGAGCTCCACTAAGTCTGCTGATTGACCCCGGGAGAGCCCCGAGTCCCATAGGCAAAAGGATGGAATTGACCTTCCTGGTCTGGCAAACTCCCTCATTCAGGACCTGTCAAGTCCACAGGGTGCCAGACCACAGAGGTCCAACCTGTATTTTTCTCCTTCTTATAGGGTGATAAATTAGCTCCCCCGCCCCCTTTCTGTAATTTAGCTGACCATTTGCTAGAAACTTCAGCATGAAATACAGAGCAGAAAACTGCTCAAGACTTCCATGTAAAGCAAAATACAAGCCCTTCATGACTATACACATACACACACCGATACACAGTTTGAACTTTGCAAAACACAGATGCTGATTTGATCCTTGCATCTCATATACTAAATCTAAACTTTGTCTATCAATTATCAGATATTATTAACTACCTACTGGGTTTTAATTTTTCATTTCAAGACACAGAAATATTGCACTACCGTGCAAACTGATAGGAACCACATAATTAAGTGCTGCATCTCAGGCTCAAAGTTTTTAGCAGGATGTGGAAGAGTCCTCACAGAAAAGGTCTGAGGAAAAATTTAGATTTTTTTAAATAGATGTACAGGGCTTGACAAATCGCTGTTTCTACTTGCCCGTGGCGAGTAGATTTCAGCAGGTCGCCCCATTCACCGGTGGTGCATGCGAAATGAGGGTCTTGCACATGAGCAGTGCAGGGCTGGTGAGTAGATTTTGTCGCCGTTTGTCAAGCCCTGTAGATGTAGATATATTCTTTATGTCATGTGCAGTAAATTAAACAAAATTTGCTTTTACCATATTGAATTGCCACAAAAAGTCCTGAAGTCTGTTGTAAAAATTCCATATTATAATTGAAGACTTATTTAGCATCAGATCCAGCCTAATGTTAGAAATGTCACATGCCCTGTAAAATCACCAAGAACATACGAATTTAAAAACCAGTAACTTTCAAGACAGATGCACTATGCACAGGGTAAGTCCATTTTACACAAACTACATCCTCTACTCTGATGAATGAGCAGCTATCATAGCAAGGGAAGTACAGGAAGCCCCCGACTTGCGACTGCCCGAGTTCCGACCCCCCCACACTTACCACCATTTGTGTAAGTGCGGAAGGGGCAGAAAACCCCCGACGTACATCCTCGGCACGCATTTATGATGGCAAACGGCACCTACTGTAAATGAGGGTTCAAGTTACAATGCCCCTGACTTGCGACACTTCCCCCAGAACTGATAGTATCGCAAGTCAGGGGCCTCCTGTACACTACATTAATAAAATAAATTAGAGATGCAAAACATATCCCTCAAAGTGCAAGGTTGTTCTCACCATGTAGACAGAATAATCCTGTTGTCTGTACAACACCATTGTTCTCTGAGGTCTCACGGAAGGGATGGAAAAATGAACATTAAATGAACCTTCTGAGCGATTACATTCATCAATATATCACATAAAACATCTGAATTATTTTTAGAATTTAAGGAAAAATATGCATAATCAAATTTGGTATTTATTACAAACTTTTTAAAAAAGAAACCTCCCAAGTTTTTGTACTAGCAATCTGACATTTCAAAAGCATTTATGTCCATGTATTGTGAATGTTTTTGAAAATAATGTTTGTAATCGCAGGTGGTGTCACACACTATTCAGGGCAAAACATTTCATTCCTTCATACTAAAAAGGTAATCACTATGTATAATTTAAATCAATTTCAAATGTGTTGTATCATAGCATTCAGGTCCTTTTGTACTACACATTGTTCTACTGAAAGATGGGGAACATTTTTTGGTTCAGGGGCAACTGACCCACTGACCCTTGACTGATTTTTCTCTCACTAGTGAGAAGCAAATATAAAAAAAACCTTACTAATGTGGCCTGCAACTGAGAAGTAGAAAGACACACCCCACATTCCCCTTTCATACCTGACCCTATGGGGCCCAGGCTAGTCGATTCTGTGTGAGGGCTGAAGAGGCAGCACAGGCTCCCCTATGCTGGAGGAGAGGCCTAAGACTCAGGGGCCTGATCCAGGCAAGCCAGGAACCGCATCTTGCCTCTGGACCAACCCGGCAGCACCCCAGCTGCTCTGCCCCAGGCGTTCCCAAGTCATCTGCTGCTGAAACTGACCAGCAGCTGACTACAGGAAGCCCGAGGCAGAGCTGCTCTGCCCCGGGCTTCCTGGAATCAGCCGCTGATCAGTTTCAACAGCGGCTGAATCTGGACGCCTGCGACAGAGCAGCTGGGGCTCTGCTGGGTTGGTCTGGTAGTGCCAAACCTCGGCTGCCCCCAAGCCAGCCGCTGCTGAAACTGATCAGCGGCTGATTTCAGGAAGCCCGAGGCAGCGCTGGTCAGTTTCAGCAGAGGCTTAATCAGGATGCCTGGGGCAGAGCAGCTGGGGATGCCTGCGGGCAGCAGGACCGCGGCACGTATCAGCGGTCCCGTTTCGGCGGTCCCGCCGCCCGCATCCTTCGCGGTGAGAAAAGCCGCTCCGCGTCTCCCTGGTCTGCTGGGGGGAAGCGCCCCCTGTGCCGCCAGAGGTGGCGACAGTGGGGGAGGCACCCCGCACTAGCTGGGCCCCCCCCCCCGTTTGTAATTAGGGGTCCGACTTAAGTCGGACTGACGTAACCCGGGGACTGCCTGTATTCAGTCTAGTAACAGGACCAAAACAATAAATCAAATTATTTAACTGGGTTTTGCAGCTAGAGGACTTGAGTATGGCAAAAAACAAGGAACACTGCAACCAGCAGACACTTGTTTACAGCTGTCCAAGGAAAGCAAAATTGTAGACCACTGAGCCAGTTTTTGGAAGGAAACAATGACACCTGATACTACTAATATTTAAATAGATCATAATTTTTCCAAAAATTATTTCTTCTGCTGTATTCACTGGAAATCTGTCAAACAAAAAGATTAACAGGGATGGACATTCTTGATTGCTGATATGGGGAAAATATTT